CATTTGAAAAATCAAAGTTGCTACTGCTTTCTAATAGAAGCGGCAACACCGCATTGTCGAAAATATTTTAGTTGGCTAGAGAATGTCCGAATATGCCCTCCATTAAATTTTCAAAGTGATCCGTTGTCTGGTTCACCAGAAACGTCTAATGTGCCATCCACCGTGAATCAGCCTGTATATAAAACACCTGTGCATCAGATGTGGCTCATAAACTACATCATAACAAGTTGCCAATTTCCAAAATTTTGGAACAATGGATTGGTTATTCCTCTGGCTAAGTGTAACTCATCTACAGCCCTTTCCAATCTGAGACAAATTACAATACTCCCGTGTCTCTCTGAAGTAGTGGAATTGATACTGAAAGATCAGATTAATAAATATGTCAATGAAAATCATATTATAATATATCTGTTCAATCAGGATTCAGATCACAGCAGAGTACCACCACGGCTCTTCTATCAATTACCGACGATTTTTTAAAAGCTGTATATGAGGAGAATGTGACCTGTTTAGTACTTTTGGATTATAGCAAAGTATTCGACACTATTGATCACGAGATTTTGTGTGACAAACTAGTCTACTTTGGGTTTTCTCGGAAAGCAGTGTCACACTTAGGAAAGTATCTAAAAAATCGTACTCAAAAAGTTGTTGTGGCTTGGGCCCTCACTTTTAAGTTTATACATCTGCAATTTTTATTAGTTTGTTAAAAATGCAATATAAATCACTATGCCAACGATACGCAGTTATATTTTTCTTTTTCGCCTCGTGATTCTACCTAAGCCCAGTCATATATTAATAAGGATCTTCAAGCCATCTTCGACATTTCTACAGCCCATAAGCTCGAGCTTAATCCTAATGAATCTGCAATAATAATGTTTGGACCCAAGAAGAAAGAGAGCTCACCAACTCCACTTTTCAAGTCTGCAAATCGAAAATGAAATATTTCCCTCCGTGACCAAGCTGAAAAATTGTGGTTTGATCTAGAACTTCGTTCAACTAAACATGTCAGCTATCTGAACCAAATTTCTTATATCGTCCTCAGGCAGCTGTTTCCAAATTGTGATTTGCTCAACACAAACTTGAAAATGAGACTATGCGAGTCACTAATCATGTCAAAAATTTCTTATTGCGACAGTGTTTATGGACCTGTTTTAAGACAATCTTCGTCTATAGCAAGTTCAGAATAGCTGCCTACGTTTTTCGTTTGGTATCCTAAAATATGACCATATATCTTCAGCCATACAAGAGTCAGTATGGTTTAAATTTCACTAGTTCGGACTTCCATTGTCTACTTTATAAAATGATTTGAAATCCCCGAACCAACTAAAAAAGAAGAATTGAAAATGAATAGCTGAAAATAACAATTATATTAACCAAAATAAACCTAAAATGAAATAATAGTGAAATAAAATACAAGTAAAAATAGAACAATTGAATAAATAGCGTCTAGTTCAGTATTCCCATGGTTCCATATTATGAAGGTGTCGTCAACATATCTCAACCAGACTCGAGGTTTCTTGTGGGCTTCTTCAATGGCCAGAGTTCCAAACCAATCCATATATATGTTGGCTATGACTGGTGAAAGTGGCGATCCCATTGGCAGTCCCTCATCTTGTGTAAAGAATTCGTCCAACTGAAGGTGCATACATAATCAATATTATCACATTGTATTGTTTTTCGCCAAGATTGAATTTTTGTTCTAGACTCTTTATCACAGAATCAGCTTAGCTTAGAATCACTTAGATGAAGCAACTTGTTTACCGTTAGGTCTACTAAGCAAGTTTAAATTGGGATATTGAGAGGTTGGTTAAAGAATGTGAAAACTATGCCTCAGTTTGATCTGATCCTCCCAAAGTTGTTCTAGTAAGTACATCCCTAGGACTCGCCTCAAAAGAATTGAAAAATAATTCATATTGATTATGCTGGCACATTTAAAAATCAATTCAACATAGGAAGTTTTAATTTTCATTCATGTTATATAGTTTAGGTCCGAGGTATAGGTGACTCTTCTGAGTTGCGTATGGGTGGTCTTTTTGGTTTGTCCTTAATTTTTCTCTATTCTTATGAACTTAGACACATCTCATACATTCTTCAAGTTCTTTCGTAGTTTATCATGTAGTGAATCTATATGAGGAATCCAATTGAGCTTATGATCTAGAATTACACCTAGCATTTTTTTTTTAGGGTTGTATGTCACCTCTAGTTGGCTATCTTCATATATTTTCAGAGTTTCAGTGGTGTTATGTATTGATAATTTTACTAATGCTGCTCTGCTTATATTTAGTGCTAAATGATTTTTATCAGCCCATTTGATTATTTTTTCATACATGGGTTCTGTTGTTTCTGCAAGTGCTAATATATTATGATCGGAGACTAGAACATTTGTATACCATCAATTTATTAAAAGAAATAAAAATATACAATAATTTCATAAATAATATTCACTATTTCTTATGTGTATTCTATAAATACATACAATTAGATGAAACAAATTGTACTTTGAAAGTGGTTTCATGATGAATTTTACTAGTTCGGATTTCCGTTATCTAATATGATATAATTGATTTGAAATTTCTGAAAGAAGAAATAAAATTAAAAATTAAATTGAATAGCGGTTAGCCCAGCTAGCGTAGAGATACGCAACACATGGAAAACTATAGTCAAGCGGAAAAACTGTCGACTCCCACTAAACCGGTGAAGCTAAGAGAGAGAAGAGGGGATAGGTGATAGCGTAAGAATGACCTACAAATAGTCGTCTCTCGGAGGAATAGTCCACTCATCACTCGGAAATGATTATAGTTACTTACAATCAAAACGTTGCGAAGTAACTTGGTTTGATTTTTTTTTATTTTTAATTGTTCAGTTTTCAAATTTTCGATTATTATCATTTTATTGTATTCATTGTTCAATATAATTGTTATGTTTAGCTATTCATTTTAATTTTATTTCTTTCAAAGATTTCAAATCATATTAGACAATAGAAGTCCGAACTAATAAAATTCAGAGTGAAATATTCATGAATTTCATAGTTATAGGTGACCATTTGTTTGCAATAAGGAGGATACAATAATCTTTGATATACCGTCAGCCACTGTAAAGATGATAACATTATATTGATTGGTAAATATTTATCACATTCTACAGTAATTCTCATTCCTTTATTTTGCAATTGACTTATTTTACCTGAATTCATAGAGTAGAATAATTGATTTGTTGAGTTGAATTCCTGTGTATTTGGTATTTGTGACGATATCGATTTTTTGGTTATATATGTTGATATAAATATAGATTATATATCTATATTTTTTATTTTCCTCACAAAATTATTCTTCATCTAGCTTTTCCTAATACGACTAATAACCAGTCCGTGCAAAGCTTATTGTTAAATCATCTGAAAATGGAATTTTTAACAGGTGATGATCGACTATATTGTCAAACATGCGCCAAACTAACTGACTAAGGAAACAAGTATAGCTGAGGCATTATTTTTTGTTTCATTTCTGAGTTGGTGGTAACAATAATGTTTACTTATTAGCATTCGGAAATCACTTTCTATGCAATAAGTATTGTTTCTGTTCCTCATTATAAGTTAAACTCTGATTATGTGATTTCATCAATTGAACTCCTCGTTCAGCATTATCATTTACAAATCTAAAGAAATGAACTTTAAACGTTCAAGCCAATCTCTAATATACCTACACAGTAGGTTGAATGGACTGACGCCTATCATTTACAATGCATAAGAAAAGTGATAAACAAATATATTCTTCAGACAAATACCAGAGATGAGTGCTAAATTTTTTTGCCGCTGCTTCTGGAATTTTCTTTTTAATCATTTTATATTCCAATACATTTTCAAAACATTCCAAATCTTGTCACGGAGATTGAATTGACAAAGGCGCACAATACCATGCTTATACACAATAATGTCATAAAAATACAGATATGGCAGATTCCTTGGCTTTCTACTCTGCTAAGGGAAAATTGTTCCTGCATATATACATACATATAGATAGATATAAAGAAGTTATACTTGAGTCGTGTAGTCTAAAGCACATCCCCCTTTTTTTTGTATAGAGATGAAGAAAAAGAAAGCCAAATCTTTCCCAAAACTGTTTTATGTATTGAGAATTCAATTTTTTTTTTAATGTATATCACTACATCTCCGGAAACTTTTGGACATAAATTCCGATGAATTGAATCTTCTTGAATATTAGCATGCTATTAAAAAACACTCTGTATATTTATATTGTCTAAAATATTGAAAGGTATATACTGAATACATTTAATAATTGACTATTTCCGTTTTTTTTATCTATTTTAGTGTTTAAGAACTCTCGTTGGCCATACAGGAGGAGTCTGGTCATCACAAATGTCAGGCAGTACAATAATAAGTGGCAGCACGGACAGAACATTGAAAGTTTGGGATGCAGACACTGGTGTTTGCATACATACTCTCTACGGTCACACATCAACGGTTAGGTGTATGCATTTACATGGGAAAAAGTGAGTTGTAGAAAACTCCATTGTATTTTGATTGGCGTACATAATGCCAACCATTTGAAGTTAATAATTGATGACGTACTGTCGTCCGGGTTGAACCACGTCTGTAATTTAAATTTTTCAACGTTTCAGCTTCTGCTTTAAACCATTTCCAAGTCTCGTCACTGGTTTTGTTCTTCCTCTGTTCAGCTCCAAGTGAACACTGATCACTTAGTTGTTTGGGTTTAGTATTTTTGCTGTTGGACAGGTATACAGTAGTGGTGTCCTTAGATTCAAGGGTTTTGTGACTTGACGCCAGGGTTTAAATATGCATACTTCCCAAGTCTCGCCGCTGGTCTTCGCAAGTCTCAAGCTGCCTACGCCCAAGCAAACTGTCTACTTCCAGCCCTTGCTGGCCCTGAACACCTTGAGTTGAAAAAAGAGAGAAGAAAGACAGTGAGAGACTTTGGAGTTAGAAAGATTACGATCCCGTCGTCGAGTCATATGATTTCAGTTCCAAGTGGTTCTTGCAAATGAATTCAAATCAGAAGCCGAAACGTCAAAAAGATGAAAATTACAAAGCTGTTCAACCCGGACGACAGAACATCATCGCCACTCTTTTCCTACATGCTCCGACACCGCGTCGTCGTCTAGCAATCTAACCTCAAAAATTATCACGTGCACTTGCGTACGTATATACCAGTTGTTTTGAAGTGAGAATAATGTGTATACTAAAACCAATAATGATTGAGAGTAGAAGTAAGCCCAGTTGACAGCAAATCGTTCTTCTTTTAAAACATGCTGCATGCATTTCTTTCAGTCTTCTGTAGAAACAGTTCGAATAGCTTCTTTAATTCGCAGTGGTATGGTGGTAACCTTAAAACTGTAATTCCACGACTTAACGCCATTTCATCCACTGCGNTATATGCGAGCGCTTTCGATAGCTGGTTGTACTATCATCATCTAGGCTCTAGAGCCTAGTGTACAAAAATCATTTGAAATAGGTCTCTGGAGCAGACTCCACAGAAGGCAATTCCGTATCTAATATGGGAATCTATGAGAGTAAAATTGGCTGTTCTTGAATGGGCATAGCCTAGTTCTGTAGAAATGACTCTCAGCGTGTAACAGCCGAAGGCAAGCTTCTTCCTTAAGTTTATTGTATGGGCCTTGAACTTCATTAATCATCTACATTCAGCCTAAAAAAATTTATAAATATTTATACTTTCTAAGATTTCGTTACCAGGCAGATCTCTTAGGGTGTCTAAACAATTTTCCTTTTTCATTTTTCATAAAAATGCTATTTTCATGTACGAGAATCTATATTTTTGTAAACTTAATTTTCATAACAGGGTCGTCAGTGGCTCGAGAGATGCTACATTGAGATTATGGGATATTGAGACTGGTGATTTCCTTCATGTCCTGGTAGGACATATAGCTGCTGTTAGGTGTGTACAATATGATGGAAGACTGGTCGTGTCTGGAGCTTACGACTGTATGGTGAAAGTGTGGAACCCTGAGACTGAAGAATGCCTGCATACCTTACAAGGACATACTAACAGGGTATATTCACTCCAAGTAAGAACTATTTTTGAATTTGAAGTAGCTTTTGAAAATATTGGTATCAATTTTTTCGTTGATTCAATTTTGTTTTCAATATTATTTTTTTGGAGTTATTTGCAACAAAAGGTAATTTACTACTTGGTAATGAGTAGTATTTTCAGTAAATTCCCAACCATTTGGGATGGCTTCATCCAAGAGTTAATTACAATTAAGGAAATTCAGTCGAAATTAACTGGAGTATTAGCAAACTATCCGTCTTCAGCAAACTACTAGAAGTCTTAATATATCGTATTTTATTTCATTCTTTCAGGTTATCAGTTATAGAACCTCACCACGGTTTTTTCTCAAAATAAGTTATTGAGACGAACTTGATAATATACTCTGAAATCATCTCCACTGCCTTGGATATTTTTTTTTTAGAACAACGTAGAAATATATTTGATTTATTATTTAACTATAAAATCTTAACAAACCGTTATGATTTATTCATTTTTGTATCCCAATTTTTTTTATCATGTACCCCAACGATCTACCAGAAATAAGCAGTTACTCACAGAACAATTTCGGGTTCATTAATCCTCATCAGGGCAGGGTATATCATAATCATTGATTCAAAAGGTGATGGTATAGAGCTTGTTTTGATATCTTTATCTGTATTCAGTAGCTTGCAGGTTGAAGATTATGATCTATCCTGCATTAAGTGAACTTAAAACTGGTCTGCAGATTATTAACTCATGAATGGACATCAACTCCCGTTTTTGCGACACATCAAACACTTGCATAAGTATTTATATGCTACCTTTTGTACAGGTCTCCTTCAGATACAATTCAACACCCTTATGTTCAATTTGGAAATATCCAGATGATATTATTGAAGAGGTACAAATCAGGAAATCATAACGATAGGTTCCAATTAAACTGTAAAAGTATCAAATTTTTCATTGAACACTTGGAAATACACATACAGTAACTTACTACGGACTCATTAGTATCCAAATTTCAGATAATATTTCAATAAATGACAAGTTATCGATATTTATTCTGAATGAAGACCTTTATTTTAAGCCAGTTTTTGTTCGATAGTTGAGGATACTTCTCTATCAATTCCTCACACTCATGACGCTTTGGTGGTTTCTTTTTTATTATATGATCTTTAAAAAAGGAAATCAGCAAAAGTATTTTAGCTATTTTCGCGGTTTGAAAAACATCTGGTAATCTATAATTTTGTCTGTGTACGCCTAGAGTGTGACCCATAAAAGTAGCTAGTTGTTCTAAGTCGTTTTCATTCATATCAAAGATTTGAGAGAGAGTTGCGAGATGCTTTCTTAGTTTTGTAGAGGTAATTGCATGATGATTTTTTGCTCCACATTCTTTCGCATATTTTTTTGAGTACTTTGTAACCACATATTGGTACTTTGGATGTTGTTTGTCCGAAAAAGTAAAGATTGTTTTATATTTCAATAAAACTTCAGAGTGCTCTTGAATTTCTTTACTGAGCAATACCGGCACCCCACGTCCTCTTTTGCCCCGAATCACCACTCTCTTGAAATGTTTCATCAAAATCTTTTCAGTTGGACTAATCGCTTCAGAAAACTCCTCATAATTTTGGTTTTTGACATTTGTCAAACATCATCCGTTGAAGTTCTCCAGGCCTCTTGCGGTTCAACAAGATAATTCTACAATAAACTGTTTCCATCAGAATTTTGTAGTATGTCTCATCAGGTTCATCAACCAATTTGCAAACTGCTTCATTACCTTTCATCACCAAATATTCTTTCAGAAGTTTTATATCACTTGCAAATGGTATTAGAGTGACTCGATTCCATTTTTTAATACTCAAGTCATTTGCCGCTAGAGTTGATATATGGAATTTCCAGTGAGCAGTCACCGTCTTCAGTTCAGCTTCAGTTTCTGCAGAACTAACAGTTCCATATGCATCTTTTCTCTTCAATGCATGATATATTGCTATTTCACAGCACTGTTTAATGGAAGTGCCAAAATTCATAGCATATGAAGGAGATTTGTATGATTCCTTATCAATGTCGTACTTTGCAACAGTTTTTGTTGCTTGAATAATTAGGTCGAAGTTTTGTGGTTTCAGAACACTGAACAGAGTTGTTATATTCGAATCAAGTTTTCTCATTTCAATCAGAAACCTAGCAAGTTCTCTCATTTTCCTTGAAACAACATTAATGAAATGTGATTCTCTATGTACTTTCAGATAACGCGAACCAAATTCACAAATGAGTGGATCCTTCTTTGCCGTCAAAGAAACATCATCTGCCCTCATCCGGGGAAAAAACCTTTTCTCGCAAATCAGAATCTATCGTAAGATGTCTCAGGAGAAGGTTTTGTCCGTTGGTGGTTGGTGGAAATATTTTTGTGCACTTTTTCCGGTGTCGCCATAAATGATCTGCCGAATAGAATCCCAAACATCCACTGCATGGAAGTAGATTCTGCTTCCGAGATCCTTTTTTTACAGCTTTCTGGTTTTTATTTGAATACGGATAATTTCCTTTCTTTTGTAAATCTGTCAGTAGATCTTTCCTGTTCTTATTTTTCGTAGGAAGAGATAGTATTTTCTGAACATCTAGTTCTTGTGAATGGTTTCTAGTAACATGACGTGCGAAACTTTGGGCCAAAGTTTCACAGTAGAAGCAAAAGTCTTTTTGTCGCTTTCTTTTTCCATAAAACCGATCTTTTTCCATAAAACCGATCATTGGAATTGTCATTTTTTTTCTGGTTTGTGGTGGTGCTTTGTGAAGAATACTCAATAAGGGGTGCTACTGGAATTTTTGGGCTAGCCTTCGATGAATCATCTCTGATCGAACTGACAAATGAAGATTTCGAGTCCTGCAAATAAAAATCAACATAAGTTGGTTTTTCATTGAACAAACTTTTAAAACTTCTGGGTTGACTCATAATAGTGATTACAAGGAGATGTTTTACTATTATTAATAATACAGTTATAATTGCGTGACAGCATTAATTATCAACAATAACTCCTCTTACTATATGAATTATCAAACGATGATATTTCATGTAACGAACTTTTGAAATACGTGAACAATAATAATAACAATAAAATGTATGTTTTCTTTGTGGAATTATCCCCTTTCTAATCTCTAATTTCAAAATTATGCCGGCAGAAATTTTGGTCAGACAAAATTTAAATCCTCATTTTATTGGACTACTAGACTTTTTAACCTTCTTCGTTATAATTTCTCCATGTTCCCTTCCACAACTCTCAATGTAATCATCCAAACTGTTCTGAATAATTGAAATATGAGGTATTAAATTCATTGAATATGTTTCCTCCATCTCTAATATATTAGTCACAACAGATTGTGACGGAAGTGACTCATTGAGACCCGGGGTTCAAGTCGCCATCACATTTTCAAAGTTGGAGGGGTAGTTATCCAGCTCCAAGCGGTTTGGATTGAAACCCTCAAAAAAGGGTTAAGAATTGGTCATCTGCTCGATGGAAGTCATCGCCGGTGGTGGTATTGCACTAGCTTCTTGAAGGGTCACGTTCTGGTGGACAACTACATTCCTGCGCTCCAGTTCACCCATTTCTGGCCGGTTCACAGAGATTAATGGCTTTAATAACGCTTCTTTCAACATAGACATGGTTTTGAAAACATGTGAAAAAATAATAGGCAATATAATATGAATAGCTTACAAAAAATAGTTTCAGCTTTCTATTTCTCCACCTTGATACCAAAAAAAAATAGGAATCCTCGAAAACAACTACTTTCATAAAAACATTTACTCAAATTAAAAGAAAAAATACATTCAAAACATATACTTTTATAAGAACACTGAATCATACTAAAAAAATAGTTTGTAGAAAGCCAAAAAATGTTCTTTAACAAAATTATTCTCGCTTTAAAATATAACGCTTTCAATTTGTTATGAATAATGTAGTAGAGCAGCGGTCGGCAACCTTTTGGCAGGCAAGGGCCATAAGGCGGCAAAATAAATTAAAGGTGGGCCACACTTGTGATAATAATCTTAGAAGCCCAATATATCTACGAATAATTGGTCATATTCCATAGAAAAAATGAAAATGCTATTAAAATTGTTGAAAATGGGGATTTTTAATTCGTACACGTGATACTTAAATTATGTTTATATATTTGGGATTTACAGCTGGAAAAATAACCACCGAAAAATAGAAATGAAAACTTCAAAGTAACAACTAACAATTAACTGATTTTAAATTAACCTCAGGCATCACAGTGTGATGTCTGAGGTTGGATTTGGGAGGCTATTTCTTGTATGTTAGCTGTCATATTTGTGGTTGCAATTCGTAGAGTGGCTCTCAAATGCTCATCTGTGAGATGAGCATATATGCTTCTCGTCAGGAAGCATATTTATTTTTTCTATAGTTGACAATTGAAAAAGTTTGTTCGCATAAATAAGTGTTGCCAAAAATTGTAATGAACTGCTGAGCTGCCGTAAAATTTAACAATGATATTGTTAAATTTTACGGTAGCTTGCCATAAAATTTAACAATATCATTGATTTAATAGAAAGAGCTTTTGAGAGCATCGTAAGATTGGGAATCAATCACGTTCATTTGTAAATGACTCGGAACTTCCTCAATATCACACGAAAAAGGGTTTGGCAAAATCTGAATTGAGTTTGCAGTTGTATTAACCCTTTCGGACCCGAGTTTTTTTTAGTCTAGCAAAAAAATTGAAACACAGCATACGTTATTCATGATTTTTTAAAAGTATTTTGCTACCGATCATAATGTCATCTATGGTCGATTTCGACTTCTGACATGTGCACTAGAGTGCACACTGGGTCTCAATGGTAATATTGCTACCAATGGAAAATAAAGCAATTCATTTCTAAAGTTAGTTTTTATTGATTTTGTTATATGATATAATGTGAAACAATTCTGTTTTTTTTGCTATGCACAAATGGACTTGACATTTCTGGCAAAAAATGTGTGTTTGAGATTTACAAGTCGGCATTTTGCACCTACTTGCAAAATTCTTCTACTACCTTCATTTCTTTTCAGTTTCTGATCCTTACCATCGGATGAAACTGTTGGCGAATCTCTCGAAGGCCGCCCTCTTGATCTCGGTGTCGACTCCGCCCGGGTCCCATCAATTAGGCCCTCAGCAACATATGCACGAAAATGCATGTGTTGCTAAAATTGTATTTTTGTTCACTCCAAGATCCTCAGCCTTCTGCCGGTACTCGATCCAACTATTTGTGCATGCTATATCGATTCCATGGGTGAACATACGAAGTGTCCATTTACGACTTCGAATTTTGGTTCTATAGAGTGTGAGCAGAAAATCCATTTTGTCTACCCCTCCCATATGGCTGTTGTATTGTTTGATAACTTCCGGCCGGGGGATATTTATATATTCTTTTTTCACCT